TGAGCATACAATTTCATCTGGGCACGACATTGGATGGAGTGACGCTGAATCACTTAAAAGAGAGGAAAAATGGCATCAAAGAAAGTAGTCGGAAGCTTGTTTTATCGCATCTAATAAGAACAGATTCTGTTTTTCGTGCTATATATCATATATATTTTGCTTTGCTTATTTATCCTCCATACCATTGTAACCCTGAGGATGGYCCGAAAGCTTGGTAAATTACAACTTACTTTGGTTGATGAAACAGAAGTACCATGTATTTGACAAAATATTAATTTCATGTACATGGCAACAGTGCAACAGTGATGTTTCTCAAGACTATCATTTTAAACATYGAAGACCCCCCTATTGTTCAATGAAATTATTTCAGGAATTAAATACTGACCGGTCCCTATATAAAACGAAAGATCGTTAACCTGTCAATACTAAACTCACAAAGTTTGGTGTTTGGGTGAGCCCATCGAACAACCACCTGAAATTTGTGTCTTGAATTAAAGTACATGCAATCCTTTGTCGCAGTAAAGAGAAATCTAAGGAACTAGACCCTGACAGCAGGATTGACTCTTGCCACTAAAATCTGTTTARAAGGTCATGTGCTGGCTTACTATAATCGACGAAACGAGGGAATCTGTATTAACGAAACGAAATGGGAGTCTGTTTTCAACGAAGCGAAGGAGATTTAGGTCTTATWCTTGTACTGTGAAACAAAGTAAAAATATAGATATACTAATAATAATTGGAGTAGTTTAAAGCTCAAACCAGTGTATCAAAGTCAGTTTGCAAAGTTTTCGTGATAGTTGGTGCCGGGATTAGCGATGTCTATAAATCCATGATCGCTACAATCAATCTAGGAATACTTCTGCTCGAGTATCATTGTTTTCTTTAATCCATAGAAGAAACGGAAGCACTTTATCAAATTTGAAAATTTAGGCTATGCAAGTAAGAATCAGACAGCCWCGCTGCTGTTTCACTCAGCTACGAAGTTTCGGTTTACATGTCGCCAAGGAAAATCAGCACTATTTGGCACGATACACTTTATGAGCTAAACTAATGTCCTTATATATGTTTTTACAGAACAGAATGTTTTGGACTAACAAAAGGGTAAACAAAACAGAAAAACAACAGTAAATGTACTATAATAAGATAATATAATAATGTGAAATTTTAATGATGACGTCACTTCGTAATCGACTCGGAGAGTAATCGGAAAAACTTCTGACATGGAAGAAAAAATAGAATTATACGCGTTGCAGTTTATATAGACTGTGGTGAGAATCGGATGTACAAGGCTTTCACAGGGTACATTTTATATCTCGTGTCCTCGGCCTAGGGCCTGCGGTTACTGTCTGCTTTACTGTGGCTAGATAAAGAGTGTTTTATTCGCCGACAAATATGGAGCGTAAACTTAAAGTTCTGCAATCACCACAGACGTCAAATTTCTGTGAAATTCTTTATCAATGAYTTAAGTCATTATTCACCTTGGAAACTTTTTCCCATATCAAACAATATTTGTGAAGTAATTTTAATCAGATTAGAAGCATATTTTAAAAACATTCAGAACGGAATATTATTATTTAGGCCATTTTACTTACCATGCATTGCGCGGCTTAAAGAACGGGCAAGGCTTGTTTTCTTGGTCTAGTGTTGAAATTTTGRAAAACTGATCCATGTTCAAATACTACATATTGGCACTCTTCATCAAGTTCAAGATCAAAATGTTCTCTGATGCATTGGACTTGTGCGTTTCTCACTTAAGCGTCAGTTGTCGCACCGTTCTTTCCACTGCTACATTTTCGCCAGGCCCTTTTCGTGGCTCGAATATCTTATTATAGCTACATCCTTTGGCCGTGTCTTCTCTTACTTTCTWCACACCAAATGAATTTATCAGAAATGTCCAGAAAGGCACTCGCTTTATTGGTGTATGATGTACAGCCTTCARTGAGTATCTAAAGGCATAAATAAGGCTCACTGAACTATGAACGCTGAATTGGGATTGGTTATAACCATGAACTGTGAACATCAACAACGCAGATGAAATTAATAACCGTGTTAACAGATTGAAAAACATGTTGAACATAGATCTTTCTATTTATTTTTTCTTACTACAAACGTTTTCTATTTTGATTGCATTAGAAATATACAAACGCCTTCTAACTTATCTTAAAGTGGAAATGTTTGTTTTGAATAGTTGGAATTGTTAAAATAGTGGCGAGATGACTCATCTTGCTAGATGCATCTATATAGTCAACCAACCTTAACGGSCCCTTAACTTGTTGTCAGACTGAAAATAGCTTCGTAGTTAGGAACACACAAAATAGGACATCGGAGACATTTTTGCACAGCAAAAGATATAGCAGCAGTACTGAAATCATGACTTTTTTCAAAAGAACACTTCTTTGTAGTAAAATTTAAAATGGCTAGTACTTCAATKTATCAGAATTTTCTTAGCCTTCGCCTTTGCAAGCCAGTTATCTCTGACTCATTTAAATAATCTTTTTTTTTTAATAAAACTTTGAATTACTTTTCTGCTATTTCTCACCATGTGATTTTTAGACTCATTGATGATACAGCTATTTCCGGAAAGTACGGCGAATTCTGAATGACTAATCGATACGGCGTGTATTCCAAGGCCGAAATGCATTGCTGGGACTCGGTCTATTAGCTTTCAATCGGGAGCCAAGATGTTTTCGTGGATTCAGAGTGATATACCAGTTCCCTATTGTCAAAAGCTTCAATATAAGTCTATTACTTAATTCATTCAAATCCAGTGGTTTTTTTTTGTTTTGTTTTGTTTTTGGAGCTTTTCCTTCGAGATTAGCTCTTGATCGATGAAATATTTATTTACTCTGCTGACTCAGATCACAAGAAAAACTTTTCTGTTAAAGGTCCACGTGCATCCAGGAGCCTTTGCACGATTTTCTCACGTACAAAATAAAAATCAAAATCTGTGATTTTGAACCAATCAAATAGATTGAACATTTAACAAGAGATCATTTTTAATTAAAAGGAACGATTGCAATGGCTCTTGGATGTACCTGGGCCTTTRAGATAAGACTGCACTAGACAAAAGTCAAGTTTTCACTTACTGAATGAGTAGAACAAGGCTAATGTCAGAAGGGACAAAAATAAAATAAGTTCAATGCAATGGTAATCCTGTGCCTCTGCATTACTTGGTTTTTGCCACGAAAACAACTAAAGTGTATTGCTGTTAATTACATTATCCTATTTCAGTTTGAACAGCTTGATTACCAGACTGTCGAGCCAAAGAGAAGAATGCAAATCTACAGTGTTCACCAAAATAGATAAAAAACTGGCGGGGTAGCAGTCATTATAACAGAGACACTTTGATATCCTACAGGCAACTGACAGCTTATTGTTTCCATTATCAATTGGACTGGGATGGGTAAATAATTCTCAGGTTATTATTGCCTGTAATTAAATTTATCAGCAAAACTAAACGATTTTCATACAAGACTTTTTCAGGCTTTGTAAATTCTGTTTTGTTTGTGTGTCCATTTAAGGTGTGTGTATTTTGAAGTTCTAGTGTTTGTGACCCTTTTTGCCCTAATATCAAAGGRCGGGGGTCCTCGGCGGAGATTGTGAAAATGACCCCTAAACGGGACCTATATTGTGAGAAGATGGGCGTGGCAGTGGTGAAATTTCAACCCTAAAAGGGACCAATCAATAACAGGTCATTTTGTTTTGGTTTRCCGATTTTATTTGTGTTTTTACACAATCATYGAACACCGTCGGCTCGTATTGAGTTTATGACGACGTTGCCATTTTATGACTGCTTAGGGTCGCCGTATACCCTAAAAGGGACCACAAAACACAGTTGGTAGGAATTCTTGTCATGATCACCCTAAGCGGGACCAAAATACTGATTTCACACCCTAAAAGGGACGCCGAGGAACCCCGCCCTTTGATATTAGGGAGTCCCCCCCCGGGCCTTTTTGTAAGTAATGACATGAGACATAACTCCCTTTGATGAGCCATTATTGATATCTTAAGATAAATGTCAGAAGTTCGAAATAAAAAAGAACTTAAAAACACATGCTCTTCTACATAACAATAAGGGTGCCTAATCTTAGCAATACAGCATACCGAGCTCGTTATCAAATGGGTTCGGACACGGCACRGCTAATTAATAAGACTAGTAAATTATTCATGTTCTGATAATACCTTAAAATGTAACGCCAATTAAAAATAGTCATTTGTGCTTAAAACACACCTCTCAGTCATACTGACTATGTAGTTCGTGGAATATATCTGGGTCTGGATTTCATTGCTTTTTGGAACTACAAAAGGTACACTTTGCCAATTCAGTTGTAGGTCRCAATATTCAATTTTAGAATCTCTCCACTGAAAACTCTAGTCCAGTAGCATTTTGACTATGTCCTTTTATAGAAGAATTCAGTGTTTACGGGAAGGAAAAGAGATTGCAAAAACCCTCTAAAACAACTCCAATCGAGCCCAAATTGCACACAAGGAAATAACTTCAACTCAAAATAGGAAGACATATCATTTAAAATATCCTTTTTTATTCAATATTATGATTATAGTATATATTATGCAACCGCTAAGCCCAAGTTGGGCTGCCTGTGGTAATACCGCGTCTTTTAAGACGCTGAGTATCGCCGATTTTTAGATTTTTATTACAGTGGATACAATTCCTCTTCAACGTTCAATTTTCTTTATTTCCCCGCTATGAATTAGCATAAAATAACGGCGAAATTTCTTGAATCCCAATACCTCCCTCATTAACGCTCATTCTCAATCTGTGCCAATGAAATTTAGTTTTCCCAGACTTTTTTTCTAACACAACTGAGCAGTAACAATAGATAAGGTGAAATAGATGTAGGGTCGAATTATAGCCAAATTAGTTTCCGCGTCGCACTTAGGAAATGCATGATACAGAAAGAAAGTAAAGTTATGGTGCCTAGAACATTATCAAAGCAGTTTTTTGTTGACTTGCAAAAAAGAAATCGCGTTTTTTCTTAAGCCTTTGAACCACCGAAAATCATAGAGGCTTTTATAACTTTCTTCCATGTAAAGATAATCTCCACAAACAACTAAAGATGATGCTTTGCAATATTAATACGCGAGCATTAATTGGCGGTCATTTCAAGCTGAGAAAACCACGTGTTTTTTTTTTTTTTTTTTCATGGCAGGCCTGTTCTAAAAATGCAAAACAAAAGCTTAATTTGAGTTCGAGACAATCAATGCAGCATATACCGTCCGAGCGCCTTTTGGCAGCTAATAAAGGTATATCATGAAACTAAGCAAAACCCCCTTAACCCTCTGGCGACTGCCCTATAGGATATCGTTCGAATTCGAACGATGCGTCTAAAATTGATAAGTTACCGAAATAGTAAGCTATATCCCTGAAATTGTTGGTGTTCTTGTTTCGCCACCAAAGCGTTGAATTCGTATGAAAATTTGCATRCACACTATTTAGACGTATATTTAAGATATACTGTACGAAGAGCTCTCTTTAGAAAAAAATTACTGGATTTTTCGATATTTTTTGCTTGAGTATGACGTCACATGCAACCCACCAATGGTTAAACGGCTAGAGACAATTATGCAAATGAACAAAATAACACACAAAACAAAATTTGGTGACTACTGACGTTAAGAACATATTTACTGATAACAGCATTTTCCTAAARATAAAAATTTTTAGGCAATATTCAAAGATATTAGATCTTAATTCTTGAATACAATTTAGCAAAATGTTTCCGCGACAAAACTTCGAATGTAGTTGCTTGAAATATACAAAAACGTTTTGTATATTTCAAGCAACTACATTCGAAGTTTTGTCGCGGAAACATTTTGCTTCGGATTGCCTTCTTGAAGTTTTGTTTAGCACTCTAAAATACTTTGAGTGGCATCCAGTTGACCAACAACTAAGRCTCAAGGATTCAATTGTTTGCATTTTAGAATGCATTGTGTTCATTTAACGCACCTTTTTAGATGCATTCAAACTTAATGTTTATCACTTTTTTTAAATAACCGACTACCGACAAATGCCTAGAATTTTAAAAAAACAACCGACATTGACACCTCCTCCCCATTCAGAGGCTGCTAAGACAATCTTATGCCTTTGTTAATTCAACCTCGTCATGATCCACTAGACATGACGCTGTCAATAAACTATCTGCAACTATTGATAATAATAACACTATAAGCTTTTTTTGCATGTATACACAGGGAATACAGTCTGCAAAGACTTCAAATATCTTAAATGCCTCAAAGACAAAGCATTAATAGGTCATGTGATAAGGAGTTTCTATGCGAGCAGCGTTGRTAAGTGTCAGCATAGCTGCTATGTGCAAACCGGTTGYGTGTCGTATAACTTGGGTCCAGTCACAGGTGCAATAAGATGGTGTGAGCTGAATAGATATGATCACTCGACGTCTCCTGCACTCCTTAAAATCAGCGACAAGTCAGGTTATGAGTATTGCCCAATAAAGGTAAGACAATTTAGTACTTACCCGCTTAYAAGAACCTGCAATTTAAGAACCTGTAAGTCTAAAAATATCAATTTAGACCCCATTTACATAAGAACCTTTAGTATAAACATATCAATGGTCTATCACTCATACTGCGCTGTGATTGGCTACTCTACTAATGGTCTAATTTATGATAGACCACTCGCGGGAAAATCAATCTCATTGATAAATTATTTTAAGGATATTTCAATTTTTTTCATAATTTGACCGATTAGTATGTTTATACTTAAACAATTAGACCTCTCGGCCTCGTGGACTACGAGCTAATAGCCCATTCGGCCTCGCGGACTCGTCCTCATGGGCTGTTAGCTCGTAATCCACTCGACCTCGAGGTCTAATTGTTAAATAGCCTAAAATTTGAAACAGGATCTTTTAGATGTAGGTTCTTATGAAAATTAACCTAAATAATTTTTTATAAAAAAAAAAAACAAAGCTCAAACTGTAACTTGAACATGTATGCACGCACTTCTAAATTTGGTATAAATAATGTTGAAAGCTTTTAATGGCTGCATTCTATTCATTAAAACTTGAATTGATTGTTTAAAGAATCCCTGTTCATCCAACCCCTGCATTGCTACGAAGCTTTGTAAACCAAGCCTCGATTGGTCGTCTTTCATCTGCAGGGGTAGGTCTTGCATATAGAAATTTATTGTGTCAGATATGTATAGTTTACAACATGAGCGGCCGTGTTGTATGGGAATTACAATCTCGAGCCGCAGGCGAGAGATTGTAATTCCCATACAACACGGACGCGAATGTTGTAAACGACTTATAAAACTCCAACACAAATTAACATGAATTACAGTGAGATAAATGACGAAAAATGACAAATAAGGTAACTGCTGAGTTTAGTCYCTATTAAGCATGCGCAATTTACTGCAACACAGAACATTTTGAATAATTATCCATCCCACATGGAAAGCAAGCCATCTGTTGCATAAGCCAGTTCTGTTATCCGTCTTTGATTGCTTCAAAACCTAGTGAAGGTCTATGATGCGACACTAAAACTGAGACCTTTGCTAGTGTTGGGTTGTCTCAAGGTGACGACCGTGTTGTAAATCTTATACAACACTAGTGTTGTATCACAGTGTTGTATCTGATTTACAAGGTCAATCACCTGATGAAATGGACAACCCTTATTGGAGTAATAGCTCATGCATTATTAATAAGTTTTATAAGCTTTTTAACAGAGTTAGTGTACTTCACAGTGTATTCTCGACGTATTGTTCAAATTAACTGATAACCATTGTTTTTCAGAAGGCGTATGGGGATCCTGGGGAGCTTGGGTGCAGTGTCCATGCCCTAAGAGACGTAAACGAGCCTGTCGTAATCCACTGACAAATGGAGAGGCRTCAGATTGTCCTGGTTCAAATGAAGAGACAAAACCATGCTTATACACTTCAGMGTTTCCAAACGAAGGTAATTTCTTTCAAGAGACTCAAACACTTCGGGGTTGCTATGGCGTCATAAAATAATACGAGCAGACTGCCTTTGATGCTAGTGTAAAAGTACAAGTAAAATCGAGAAACCTAGCTACAGGGTCTGAATGGGGTTAACCGAATAGCGACAAATGGACAAAATAACTACTGACTAGCGACAAATTTGAACAAAATTTGCTGACTACCGACATTAACAAATTTACTGACTGGCGACATTTTCCAATATTCAAAGATGTTACACTGGAAAAAATCGCGCGCTTTAAAGGTTGTAAATTTGGTGTAAATATAATGTAAGTGTCCAAAATTCTGTAAATTAAATGGAAATCATTTACATCAAATTTACAGAATTTTGGACACTTACATCATATTTACATCAAATTTACAACCTTTAAAGCGCGCGATTTTTTCCAGTGTAGCTCCGTGAATATAAGTTTTTTTTTTATTTTTCAAGCAACCACATTCGAAATTTTCCGCGGAAAAAATAAATTTTCCTTCGGATTGGCTTCTTGAAGTTGTGATGAGCCACTCTAAAACTTTGAGGGGCATCCAATTGACCAATCAAGACTCAAGGATTCAATTGTTGGCATTTTAGAAAGAATTCTGTTGGTATAAAAGCACCGTTTTAGATGCATTTTTTTAAATAACCGACTACCGACAAATGCSTAGAATTTTAACTGACTAGCGACAAATGCTTGAAATTTTAACTGACTACCGACATTGAGACCCCCCATTAAGACCCTGTAGCTAGAGTCGCAGGATAATGATTAGTCTCAACAAGGCAGGGGTTAAATTTCATTACTAACACGGCTATCGTCTCACAATACAAGTCCCTTTTAGGGAGCATTTTCAGAAATTCCGACGATGAATTCCCACGCCCCCTACCCCCCCTCGTGATCCACACAAGCATCTATACATCGATATGTATTTTTAATTTATTTGTTTTTAAGTAGGCAGAGCAATTTTATTTAATCCGTGAAATAAACTAAATAGTTCTTTTAAGAACAATTAGTCACTATTTTGTATACTCAAATAGATGATAGCACTCGAGCAAATCAACTTTTAGTTCAATACTCAGGAGAAGTCAAATACACAAACCACCAACTGAGCTATCCAGTAGTARGCTGCATTCGCATTTCAATTTATTCTCTCCAACTACTGAAGGACATACATATATATTTATCTATTCGACTTGAGCCAGGTCTACGTCTGCTTTACATTAAGGGCTAACCCAGATACGACTACTCCCATGTGGCTTTGATAGCTCAGTTGGTAGAGCATTGCACCAGTATCGCAAAGGTCGTGGGTTCGAATCCCGTTCAAAGTCAGATTTTTTCTGGCTTCTTTTCCAGTAGTAGGCTGTATTCGCATTTCAATTCATTCTCTCCAACTACTGAAGGACATACATATATATATTTAAGTAATTTATCTTTATTTCATTTGTATTGTGATATCAATGAAAAACAAATGAAATAACTTGATTCTAGTCTATTTGATGTCTCCTGGGTATCGAACC